AATGTACTCGTCGGCTTTCTGTCTCCGTCGACCTTCGTATATTGAATTCTAAGATCCTGCTACGGCGCTCGGAGCCGAGAGTCGCCTGTTCGCTGGGCTACCGCGGCGCGCGCATGACACGTTTTTCGGGGCTCGACCTCCCGCGGCTCGTGATGTATGGCGATTGACTCGTCGCCAGTTTTTACGCCGCTCGCCGCCAGCAGCCGTGGAGCGCGCATAGAGCAAAAGAGTCATTGGCACGTCGTCGAGCTCGTATAAAGCCGCTCGCCGCGGCATTAATTACCGCTCCGAGCGTGGTTTTTCGACTTCGGTGGGCCGAGCGCCCGCGTGTGACGCAACACTCGTACCGAGCGGCACGCAGTCTGCCAGTCGACGTCTCTTCCCCTCCCCCCCCTCCCCCGGGCATTTACATATTAACGATCGGCGCATGCTAATTGCGTCCAATGCGCGACGACGTCTCTCTTTCGAGCAAATAGCCGGTGAGTTATCGAGCGCCGCCGCGAGGATTACCCCGGTCTCGAGCGCCGCGGCCAACGCGCCCAGGACAATCGAACGGGAGGAGCGATAACGATCGCGCAACGCTCGCATTGTCCGCGTGGCCCAGTTCTGTGGCGCACGGCCAGACCTCGGATTAGGCTAATCCCGCGCACGACGCCTAATCCCCTTTCCTCTGCTTTTCTGCGCCGCTGCTAACCCCTTTTCTGAGTCACGCCCATTTTTTTTCTTTTCTCTTACGTTCCTCGCTATTATTCAGGTCGTCGGTTACGCAACGCTCGCACAGCAATGATCTCGATTTCCGAGCAGATTACAGCCTCTTTTCGAAGACAGCTAGCTCGGCAATTTGCATACACCTCTCGCTCCCGAGACTGGCATTTTCCATTGAAAATCAACGTATATTGCCGATCTCGCATTGCGAGCGAGATCAAAGTTTGTTCAAGCTATCAGTTATATCGTCAGGAAATTCTTTGCCTCGCATAGCTTATCCTCGGCTAATCTCTCGCTCGCTGGCACTTTGCTGTACAATAATTTCGCCGAGGCGCTTTCCTGTTGTAAAAGCTCCTGATACGCGCGGTTATAAATAGCGCTCATAAAATGCCATCGAACTCGCGGAAACGCTGCGGCACGTAACGGAGATGTAAGGTTCGCGCGCGCGAACAAAAAGCAAAAATTCATCTCTCGAATTCTTTGCCGTGCGCGGTTCTAATTGAGTTATAAATAATGGTGGCAGAGAGACAGAGAGAGAGAGAGAGAGAGAGAGAGAGAGAGAGAGAGAGAGAGAGAGAGAGAGAGAGAGAGAGAGAGTGCGTTTGCGTGGGATCGTAGGATTCGCGCAAAAAGCCTACTGGGTTCCCACAGCGAATTCCTGGGTCAGGGCGTTTTACAGCGGCAAAACAGCGATAATTCGACGGTGTGGTCCGCAGCGCGACTCGGCGGCGGCGAATATCGGTGTGCGTCTGCTGACGCTGTCCTCCACGGCGGCTTCGCATCCCCCACCAGTGGCTGTTCCCACGGCGAGAAATCGACAAGGGATCCGCGGGCCTCTGCCTCGGGGATTCCTGTCATTCCAAACGATCGCTCGACTTTTCGGCCTCGAGCCAGCCATAAAAACGATGAATTAATTGATTTACGGCGGCGACACTGGCTACTGCTGCTGCATTTCGCGCAAGCTTCCACTCGATCCTCCTCCCTTTGCTCGCTTTTTTAGTCTCCTCGGCGGCGCGAGAGAGATCCCCAGAGAATTCGCTCCCAAAGCGGCTCGGGCCCTCGAACACGAGCGCGCGCAGTATCGTCGACATTTTTCGACGGACGCAAGGGCCGCTGATTGTCTGTCCGCGAGCGCGAGGCACCGAGAAAAGCTATGAATTATGAAACGTCTAATCGACTTTGTAATAAAGCTTTCTCGGTTTATCATTTAATGATCGCACGACTTCTCGATTGTCCTCTCTCTCTCTCTCTCTCTCTCTCTCTCTCTCTCTCTCTCCAAATGAATGCTCTCGTGGGCCAGGAGAACAGGTAATGAGTCAAGGGAAAAAAAAGAAAAACAAAAAAAAAGTTTTTTTCCTTCGAGGAATGCCATTCCGCGGGCTCTCTAGAAAAAAGCACGAGCTTAAGGAATTCTGGCTCCTCGTTATTATGAGCGTAAAATTGGCTGGATTTTTTCTTGGTTTTCTTTCGGCCGCGACGCGGACACGCCGAGCATGCGTTCAGGTGTAACGTACATTTATAATCCCGCGGTCGGTGGCCAAGAGCTCGGCCAACTGGCGAACTCGAGCCGAACGGGCGTCCGCGGGGACGCGCATAGAGCACGCGTCGGGGGCCTGAAAAACAATCCGTCGCGGCTCGGTCGCGCGGGCAAACTGTTATTGCGCCTGCGAGAGGACGTGCAAGTCGCGGCGCGAAGTGTGTCCCTGGACTTGTCCACGGTCGCTCTCGCGGCGGGGCAAAAAAGAGTGGCGAGCATAAAGGAGGCGCGTAATCTGATAGAGGCGACGAAAACATTTGGAGAGAGATCATGAGGCTGCCGCCGACGCTGCCGCGCCGATAGAAATCAGCGCGCGAGCCGCGTCGATCGCACGCGCCCGGCATCTCGGATGACGAGAGAAAGAGTAGGCGCCCCTTAGATCTGCGCCTCGTCTCAACTCTTCTTTACTTCTGTGTTCTTCTTATTCGTTTTGCTTTGTCAAGCCAACCTGCCAGAGAGCTGCTTTAATTTTGTCAAGGAATTCTTTTTGCTCGACCCGTTTACGCGCATTTTTATCTCGGGAACATTCGTAGCTTCGAAGCTCGGAATTATGGAGATATTCCGACAGAATTTTATTAAGATTCTCGGTTCGAAGTTAGAGAGAGCGTTGAAGTGGCTGAGAGACCGGAAGGATTTCGATAATTTTCCTATTACAAGCCAATGGTCTCACTCGGGATCGTCTGCTTATCTCTTTATCACGCTCCTTTTCCCGAAAGCGAGCTAATCGAATATCTATAAAACGCCAATTGCCAGGAAAAACTGCGCGGCAAGCGAGGTAGTAGACCGAATATCAGAGATAACAACCCCGCTGTTGAGTATTCACGTAGCATTTGGCGCAATGAGGCGTAGATGATCTCTGCGCGGCAGCGGTGAGTCCTTTTGATCCCAACTTTCGCCACCCCCGATTTTAACTATTATTGCGCGCGTGCCGTCACGAGTGGAAAAAAGTGCCAAGCACCGATTCGTATCTTCTCGTCTCGTTCTTTTTTCTTCTTTTATCTGGCTTTTTTTGTTCTTTGGTTTTTTTCTTGCTTTTCAACCGCGCGCAAGCTGCTTCTCGTCGCTATGCCGCGCAGCTTAGCTATTAGAGATTTAAAAATGGTCTCGAGTTAATTAGCTTATAGGAGCACGTAGGTGGTCCCCGAAGCGCATGGGTGTTGCCACGCAAGCCATTAGCGGAATTCCGCGCGTGCGGCGTTATCTAGCGCGTTGCGGGCGTTAATGGCCGAGAAATGTTAATCGATTTGTACGATTTCGAAGCGGCCAATTATTTTTCCTTTTCGCGAGTGAGAGATAATTGGACGAGGAATTGATGAGACGCAAAGGACCGGGAGGAGCAGGAAATTTTTATATGTAAATATCTGTGCGTGAGAAAGTAAAGATATACACGTGTTTTTTCATGTTTGCAATCTCCAGGCCAACTTCTCACAGGCCTTGTTCCTTTATTTATATATTTATAATTTTTTTGCTGCAATAACGTTATACATATACCGCACTTCAATATGCACGAGGTTATTGGTCAGTCACTGGTAATAGGCTTAGACTCTTGCTTTTGCGCTCGGCAGTTTTGGACAATGTCGAAAACGATTACAATTACACGGATAGTACAACAATTCGGCGGACACATCGAAACGATTTAAAGAGAAAAAAATAGCACAATGCAGTGTCAAGTGACGTGATCGGACTTGGCAGCTTGGAAAAAAATTCAATAGGTGAATACCTAACATTGGAAAAAGTCGTATGTACAAAGCTATCGGCCATCGTCGAGGCATGCCGATTGTCGACTTGACCTCCGTTGGCGCGGCGCACTTCAATTAAATACTACTAGCCAAAAAATAAAATATATATTTATATATTTACGTCATTGTATGTATATATGTACAAAAGGCGTCGACAAGGAGGAGGAGCAATGAGAGAACAAATAAATTACTCGTTTATCGCAGGAGAGTCGGATGATTTCAATGTATACTTCGGACTCGTGGCAGACACACGCATGCACGCACGTACAAACATTCGCTCTCGTAGCATTCTTATTAGTTAAGTTCAATAAGATAGATCGCTTATAAAAAAAGCGTGGCATATCAGACACGGATAACCACTAGCACGGGTTAGGATAGGACACAGTGACGTACACTTATCATTTATTTACATGGCGCGCTTTCGCTTTTCTTCTTCGTCTTCTTACGCAACTAGCCGCCGATGTAGCATCCTAAAAATACAACGCAAAAATCGCTTCAGTCTTTAATAGGTACGGGTCGGAACGTCCGAGTGGATCTCATTTTTTTTTCTTCGTCCGCCATCATTTTGCGTGGCTCTGCATTTATGTCTTGATCGTTGCGTGTCTCTCTATTTGTTCGTTGCGCTGGCTAATACTGAGCATACATATATATATATATATATAGTAGAGATAGAGAGAGAGAGAGAGAGAGAGAGAGAGAGAGAGGGAGAGAGAGAATGGGAGAAGAGAGATAAAACTTGCCTTCGAGTGAAATGCTGGTATACAGCCGAGCACCGCGGAGCCTCTTCGCCAGGAAGAGGCGGGTACTCATCTCGCTACTGCTACGGCGCGGATCTCAATATATCCCTATATCGTACGTATATCTTTTTCACGAAGATTGGCTTTTTTTGGTCCTCGTTGCTTTGCTATTACTCACTCGCGCGCGCGCGCGCGTGCGTGCGGCGGTGGCGACGCGGCCGGTGGTCCACACAAAAAAGCCCCCCCCCTTTTTTTGTTCTTCCTCCCCGTCTAATACTGAGCTGCCGCTGAATAACTTGCGAATAAATAAAGTGCGAGCGAAAGATATGTACAGTGAAGCTATACGCGAGACATATAAATAAGTTAAGAATTTCGTAGATCGCCTACTTTCTAAGCTCTCCGAGGATTTTTGGGCAGACTCGGCGGCGGCGGCGGCGGCGTCGCGCGCAGCGCGCAGTGAAAGCGAGAACGAAGCAAAGAAAAAAGAAAGTGACTCGTTAAGCGCGCGCGCGCGCACACGGCGGAGCGTGGAGAGGCGGGATTCACAGGCACGTGTGTATGGTCTTCTTGGTGTGACACAATTGGCACTTGACCTCGCAGCACCAGTGGAAGGTGCAGTTGCAGCGCTCGACGACGACGATCTCCTGGGTGCGATAGCCCCGGCCGCAGCACATGAGGTCGCAGCCGTCGACGCCGATGCTGGTGTCGTTGCACTGCCTGCCGTGGGTGCCGAGGATGCCGAGCTTGGGGTTCTTCTCGCAGAAGGGCGGCGACGGCTCCAGGTAGACCAGGTCCTTGACGCCGGGCGGCTTGTGCTCCGGGTTGTAGGGCTTCAGCTGGAAGTTGTAGCGGTGCTTGCGCGACAGCCCCTCGCGCTTGGCGTGCACCGAGTTGCTGGCCGAGTTGCTCGTGATGGCGTTGTTGACGCGCGCGCGGTCCGAGTTGCTGACCATGACCCGCGAGGCGCCGTCGAAGCGGTCCTTGAGGCTGTCGCCCACCTGGCGGAAGGTGGGCAGCCGCATCCAGCAGGTCTTGACCGTGCAGGAGCCCGACATGCCGTGGCACTTGCACTCCTGGCGCATCTCCGAGGAGACTTGCTGCAACAGCAAAGCAGAGGGCGCCGGTCGCCGGTGAGTGGCGACTCGGCTGGGCGCGCTCGGGCGGCGCCGGGCCGCAGCTCACCGTTCTGCCGGCCTCGTTGTTGTGCAGGTTCATCTTCTCGCGCAGGTTGCGGCCCTTCTCGCCGGTGTCGACGAACTCGCGCGAGAACCTGAAGCCGTAGCCGATGTTGTCGCTGCAGCCGCCCCACTCCCAGTCGCGCACGCCCGACGGGCCGCGGGCCTGGTGGGTGTAGTCGCAGGAGCAGGACTGCACGCTGCCCTCGCTGCAGGCCCGCGCGATGCTGTGCGTCACCGCCGCGCTGGTTATCGCGTAGATGAAGGCCGTCTCCCGGCAACCTGCAACAGGCAGACCGGGCCGCCGTGCTCGTTACACGCATTTGTATGCGCGGCTGGCTCTGGCTCGGGCTCGCGTCCCCGCGTCCTCGCGTCGCGGCTGTGACGCGCACGCGCCAAACGGGTTTGCCCGGCCGGTCGCGCTCGGCTCTCGCTCCCCGGAGCCGGGCCTTCGTCGCGTGCGGCCGCCGCGCTCTCTCCGCCTCCCGACAAAGGTGCGCCGCTAGACACCTGCACGCGCTTTATGCAGATAAGCGGCTGCGGCGGCTGCGGCGGCTGCGGCCGCAGGTAGACGCGATTGAGACGTCGTCGCGCTCCCGCGCCGGCCGAGCCCACGTCCCGGGGACCACCGTGAAGCTTTTGTCCGCGACGCCGCGCGCGTCGCTCCGATTAATTCCTTCCCCCGCCCTCGGCCCTCCCCCCGATTTTCCTCTCGGCCGGTCATTAGGCGACGGCGGATGCGCGCGCAATTGTGCGATTCGTGCCGAAAAGCGATGAAGACGTCAGGCTGGCTCGCTCGCGCGATGATCGAGCGTGCCGAATGGGATTCGTCACGGGCGCGCGGCGGTGGCCCGAGCGCTGTATAGGTAGGTCGCTCTCCGTTCACGGCTCCGCTCGAGAAAAAGGAAAGAACAAGAGGCGAGCCGAGGCAACAGCGGCGGCCTGCCTGCCTGCACCGCAGCCTCGCGCACGCTCGTTTTTCCCTCTAATCCCCTTGAATGAGTGGACGACGGACGGGCAGAGAGCCAGAGCCAAAGAGGAAGACAAGTCAAAAGCCACTGCGCGTCGAGATTTACGCCGTTCCGCCGGGTTATCTCGCTCGCGCGCGCATCCACGGGGGGTGGGATGAATCGCGCGCAGGATGCACTGGTCGGCCGATCGAAGGCGCGCGTGCGCGGGGGCCGCGGCGACGAGCGGCGACGAGCAGCGCCGCGCGACTTTTACGACGCGAGCGCCCAGCGAGGCTGCCGCCGAGAGATAGAGCGGGCTCAACAGGTGTATTTGGCCCCGGCAGAGGTCGTCAAACGAAACGATAAGATCGGCCGGCAAGCGCGCGGATTATTTGCTACCAAAACGTGCCTTCCGATTCGGGCAGAGCTGCGAGAGCTGCAGGCCAGCGCCTGCCAGCCGGCTCTCGCTCTTTAAGCTCGCGGCTCACGTTCGTCCCGACACATGTAGCCCATCATAGCGCTGGATTTATGTGCAGCTCGCCACCGCGGCGCACGGGCAAAAACTCAACGCCGCCGCCGCAGCCGTCGCCGCGAGAGCTGGCTCTTTACGTGTATGCCTCTCGCAGCCTCCCCATATAAAGACCAGAGCGAGCCACGCGGCCTTTATATACATACCTATTTCTAGAACGCGTTCAAAAGCCGCGCGAGTGCGCTGATTGGATTTGCGCTGTAAACGGGCCGATTATGTCGCGGATACCAGCGTGCGCTGTTCATTTGCGCTGCTCATTTTCGCAGCTCGTTTTCGCCACTCGTTTTCGCTGCTCGTTTTCGCCGCTGACGCGCACCGACGTCCAATTAATTCGGTCATCGGTGGAAAGTTCGCTTTCCTCCTCTTTCCCAGCCGAGTCCGTCGCGTGCCCCGATCTCCGCCGGAATTTTCGAATTAAAACCGAATTTGCATAATGGTTTCCGTTAAATCCTTTATTTCGACGCTTGCTTTGAATAGTCGAGCGACTCCGTTATTCCTCTGGCCGAACCTCGAGGCATATCGCGGCCCGTGACCGGAATCCCGAAGACGTAGCTGGCTCCCGCGCGCGTCAACTCGGCTCGGGGATTATTGATTTTGAACGACGTAGAGCCGCGACGAGTCGACAACTTGTTGCGCCGAGGCAAATTTCATGGGTTTGCGGCGTGCAAATACGCTTGGACGAAAATCGCCGGAGGAAACAAAAGTGGAAGAGCACGCGCTGGCTCGAGAGGAGACAAAGAGAGAGAGAGAGAGAGAGAGAGAAGGTGTATCGGTTGGTAAGTAATAGAGCTCGCGTACCCGTGCACGTATACGCGCGGGAGAAGAAGAGAAATAAGAAAAGGGGGAGGGAATCGCCGGTTTACGGTCGATGCATTTTGCGCGCGGCGGCGGAGGTGTCTGCGACGCGGTAGGCGGCGGCGTTCGCGGCATGATTACAGAGCTCGTCGGTGCCCGCGCGCTCGCGGTTAACGTCGCCGGCGCACGGCGGCGATCGCGCACTCACCTCGATCGACGATCTTGCCGAAGAGATTTTTGCCGCGCAGGTAGTTGGTCTTGGTCGAGCAGTTCCACCTGCGGTTGCGGAACTGGTGCTGGCACTCGCTGATAGCCATGTTGGCGCCCCTCGCCACGGCCATCAGCACGCCTGGGTTCTCGCGCGCCAGGCGCCGTTGCTTGCGACGCAGCGTCCCGTACACCGACTGACCCATTTGCAACGAGGCTGGGGACATTGGCAGAAGGTTGTTCGGCTCGCCCGCCTTTGCGATGCCCCTGCAATCATCACAGTTGTTTTTGCTCGCTGCCTTTTCACTGCAGTCGCGCGAGAGGTACGAGAAGGGTCGCACAGCCCACGATCCCGCTAATCTCTGTCGCGCATCTGTCGCGCGCGCCGGCCGCCTGCACGCTTGCAAGTGGGCGCTCCCAGCGCGCACGATTCGCCGACTGCTTTTTCATTTGCATCGCTCGAGCGCACCGCACGCTCCGCTAATTGTTCCTTCTCCCGCTATTGCTCTGCGCTCGGTCGTCCTCCGCGGCGACAACGGCGGCTGACGGAGAGACAAAGGCGCCAGCCGCAGCCGCTCGGCAACGTCGGAGGCCCGCGGGGGCGTCGAGAACGTTCGCGCGCGTCCCGCGGCCGGCGGCAAGTACGAGTGGTCGGCGGGAAAAACGGGAAAAGGGAAACGCCGCGCGCTCCGGCGAGAAATGGCGAACTACATCCATAAATAAACCGGCGAGACCGGTCGCTATAATTCATCGTCCGGTCTCGTTCGTCTCTCGCGCTCGAGACTCCTGCCTGTCGGGACAAGTATTCGGACGCACTCACCACCACATCGATCCGCGGCCTCGGTTCTTGTTGTTCCTGACCTCGGTGGGCAGCGCCGGCACAGCGAGCACCGCCAGGGCACCGACGATCAACCACAAGCACCTCATGATCGACGTTCGATCGCGCATTCGGCAGCGCGCTCGGGTAAACCGGCAGCAGGAGGAGAGCGGAGGAGCGCGCGCACTGATAACGCAGCAGGCACACAGCACTTGTCAACGCAGTTTTCACGTAAGTCCGAGTCTGGGCAGCAACATGGTAGCACTGTTAGCAGTAGGTTCGCAGCACGTTAAGCGGCCCGATCCCATCCATCCGATAGTCCGGTGGCCCGCTCACTGAAAGCCGCCACCCTCGCAGCCGAGTTGGGGGTGTCGCCCTCTCTCTCGCTCACCGCGGCAGTCCGCTGGTAAGCGCCGGTGGTGGGAGAGAAAGTCGAAAGAAAGCGGCGGCCGCCGTCTCGGCTCTCCTCGTCGTCGATGGGCCAAAAGCGTAGCGTAGCCGACGTCCAGCTGCTGAATGAACCGAGAGTTGCGGTGCGTGCGGGGGCCCCTCGTCCCCCCTCTCCACTCTCAGCCGGCGCAACAGAGACGGAGCGAGACAGAGAGCCGTGCGAGTGCTCACGGCGCTTTGGACCCCCCCTCGCCTCGAGGACGATGATTTCATCTCGCTATGCCCCGCCTCGAGGCTACCGCGGCCAGCGCCGCGAGAAGCAGCCGCAGAAAAACCATCACGCGCCGCACTCGCATCGATGATGCATCCGACGATGGAGGCGAGCCGGTGCGCGCTTATATTCCCCCCCCCCCCCCTCACTCTCTCTCTCTATCTCCTTGCGACCATCGAGGAATGCTCGAGTTTTTACGCGCGACCTGTAGTTTTGTTTGCAAGCACGACGCACGATTGACGCATTCCGCACGAATCCACGGCGGATCAATATTTATTAGCTCCGATTTATGGCCCGCGGCGTCCCCTGGCCGCCAAATTTCTGGGTTCTTCGAAAAAAATAACGAAAAAATAAATAAATAAAATAAATTTCATTTTCAAGACGCCACGCATTTTTCAAGAACAATGGGCCCACTTGGTCGGGCGATGGACAAAAAACTATTCGAATATTGATTGCGTAGAACTGATAACGAAGCCGAGTCTTTAGCAAAAAGAGAGTGACGACGCGTCGGACCGGTGCGGACCAATTTCCGAATTTCGTATAATAACCTTAAGCGGGGGCGAGCGATTGATTTTTGAACAGCCCTCATTCCTATCGATCGGTATTGTTGGTTTTCGCGCGCTGTCGGCAAACAACGTACCGCAAAGTCAGGCCGTCGACTCGATTCCATGACGAGGATAATTTCGCTAAAATGATTGGCATTATTCTCATGAAAATTACAAGTTGGAAAGCAATAACTGCGCCAATTCAGCGCCAATGGCAGTAAACGAGAGAAGGAGTCGCTCAAAGCAGTCGGAGAAAAAGGCACTTATCGCCTCAAAAGCAGCAGATAAAAGGGCTCTTCAATCCATTTGAATAGCGTGAACGCGTCGCGCCATATTGCTCCGGCACCTGTGTGCATCGAGATGCGTGCACGCGCTATTGATACAGGTAACGAGCCAGGCTCTTTGGAGAAATGCAGAGAGAGAGAGAGAGAGAGAGTGTGTCTTTGGTGGCAAGCACATAACGAGAGTCGATCGATCATCTTGGCTCCGCGCGGCGCACGTTCGCTCTCGCTCGCACGTGGTTCGCGCGAAGAGAGCGAGAGAGAGAAAGAGAGAGAGAGACAGCAGTTCCCTGAAGAGGGAGAGAACTGCGTGGGAGGATCCTCGAGGAAGCCACGCCTATCGCCGCCTTCTCCCCACTCGCGATTCGAAGCCTCCTTTTTTTCTCGTCTCACCTTCGCACGCGCTCTCTCTCTCGCTCTTTCTCGCAGCAACAGCAGCAGCAGCAGCAGCAGCAATAAGAAGAGCGAGAAAGAATGTGTGGGAACGCGAGTCGTCGCAGGCACGCAGCAGCAGCTTTTTCCGCGGCCGAGAGAGCGAGAGAACTGCAGCTTGCGAAAACGCGACGGTTCTTCAGCCGAGTTGCGTCAGAGATTCAATAATTCACGCACGAGGGCACGGGGAAAAAATTGGCCGCGCGCGCGCGCGCTCGAAAGAACGCCAACGATCGCGCACCGCGACAGAATGCGTTATTTATTCCTTCTAGGTGTGCATGCCTGTGTGTACGTGTGTGTGTGTGTTCTTTTTGTCGTCGTCGACTATCACACTTGCCATCTCGGCCAGTTGACGCTTCTTGGTTTTTTCCGGAGCCTCAGTCGACTTTTTTCCGCGGCTAATTGTTTTCTCGGAAACGTCAGCGGCGCGCATTCGCGCAGTTATTATATCGACGCCCAATTCATCAGGGACATAATGGCCGTGCACGTTAGCGTGGGCATGATTGATAAGATCGGCCGATGGAGTAATCGCTGCCTGGAAAGAAACGAGCGCGCGGATTGATTTGCGTAATGGCATGTACAATCAACGCGTAATTCAACCGCAAAGCAGACTCGGCCGTTAGCGCAATCGGGCAGCAACGCGCCAGGCGGAACAATGGTCCATCGGGTGGGCGTCGGCGGCGCGCTGCGCTTTGATTTTCGCGTGTATTTATAAGTGAGGTCGCGCGCGCTCTCGCGGCGGTCCTATCGAGGCGATGAAACAATATCGAGAGCTCGCTCCGGCGCGTGGCGCATCTGGCCCAGCAGCTGCTTCCGTTTGGCTTCCCAGAACGCGTCGTCGCTGCGACGATCGCCGCGGCTAAAAGCCCAATAACCCGCGGATAGCGCGCGCCGCCAGAGGAAAGCCCGCTCGCCCCTGCCCCTCCTGCGCCGAGCGCGTATTTACGATCGTCAATTTGCCGACGTACGCGCGTCCGGCAGAAATCGAAACTCTTTCAGGCGGCCTTTTATCGCCGGCAGACAAGATAAACGGATGTACTTTCGTGAGTTAACGCGAGTGCTCTTGTTGTTGGCCTGCGCGCGCCGAGCGCTACGGGTTTGTTTTGCCCGCGCGCGCACAGCGAGCTGGGAACCCGATGCCTCCTTCTCCACTCTGCGCCGAGGTTTTTTTCCGTTTCGTTGTTTCGCCGCGGAAAAATGAGCCTGCACACCGAGCGCGAGGCTTTTACGCGCGCGGCTATAAAAACACGATGATCGACTTTGATGGACAAGGGAAAAATTCAGCTTTTCTTTTTCTTTCTTGCGACAGAGGGTCTTTCTCGAAAGCTATTGCTCGAGCAGTCGTACGCTTAAAATTCATTGTTATTCGTATCCTCGAAATTGAAATGTTAGCCAGTATGTTGAATTTATGAAGGAATTTATTATTTCCTAAGATTAACGAATCCAAAGTGTTTTGGTGGTTAGTCATGAATTCCTTCCCTATTGACTGTCATAAAAAAAGAAGAAGAAAGCTCGTGGCAATAATTTTGAATAAACTCGCCATTGATTCTCGTGTATTCGTCGAATTCCATCTCTAATTTTTCGTCCGAACCAGTGAAGATAGCTATCGAAAAAATCCAGCCTCCTAAAAAAATAAGATCGGGAAAAAGTGAAGTTGCCAAGCGGCCAGGAAGGAACGCGTAAAATTGAGCTTATCTCGGCCGCAAGAATCCGACTATGGTCGTAAAGAATGGAGAAAAACGGGAGGCGGCGACAGCCAGCGAGCGAGCGAGTGTTCGGGGGGAAAAGTCGATAAATAACCGGAGTGACGAAAACCTCCCATGCAAGGGAGAAACTCCAAGGTGGCGAGGCGCGGGCCGATTGTTGGAAAACAGTGGCGATACGGGGAGCCCTGGGGATAGCGTGGCGAATCGCGCGAACGCCCGACCACCTTGATGACAGCAGCAGCCATCCTTCCACGTAATCCCCCATCCACAGCTGCGCCAGCCAGCAGCCCCTCGACCCGATACCAAAATGGCGACTTCCCACGCACGCTCGCCGATGCCGTCGAGCTCGCCGCGCTGTATCGCGTCGCCATCGCTACGCTGCGGACGGCCGCGCGAGTGCGTCGCGCGCGAACGGACCACCTTCGAGGCGCCGCGCGCGGACGATATTGGAAAAGCAAGATGAGAAATAAATAAACAAACGGCAGCAACGACAACGACGATCGCGGCATCCACTTGATTATCGGCGCGGCCGCGTCGGGTGCGCGTGTGTGGCATAGGCGCCAAAAATCTCCGCCTCGTTTGCTTTTTTTACGCGAGTTCCGAGAAGGATTACGCTCATCCCAACCCCCCCTACCCCGCGCGCGCGCGCGCGCGTACGCTCGCGCGTGCGTGTTGTTGGCTCTCGGCGAGCCCGCACAAAGAGTTGAGCCGGACAATGAGGGCATTATGCCGAAATTATGAGCATGAGCCAGATTTTACGGGGATTTGCTCGGCAGCAGCGGCGCGCCGATGCTTTTGCATAATGCTACCGGCCCGGCCAACTACTTCTCTCCTCTTCCGTCGCTTCTCTTTCTCGTCGTCTCCTTCTGCGCCGTTGTTGACAGTCTCGAGAGCTGTCAAGCGACACGAGCTTATTTTCATTTTGTCATGTGATACAAAGCTCCCCGAGGATTATTTAATAGATGCCCCGCTCGCGCTAAGACCATTTTCCACGGAGAATGTGTCCTCGCGTATAAACCCTTATAATACAAATCTGAATACCACTCGGTAGTTCCTTTTTTTTTGGCCCGTTTCTTCGCTAAGCGCTGCAGAGAGGGAGATTTTTCATTCGAGTTTTCTCCAGCGTGCATCGGACAAATTACTTTTTCATTATGTAAAACAGATTTTCCCTTCTTCGTCTCGTGAACAGTTTCCAGTGACGAGCACAAAATCGTACACGGACACTCGAGCACAAACGATGGGCAAATGGCAGTGTATAAAAGTCTGCTCGGGCGTGCTTTCCACGAACGTGCGCTCAATGGAGAAATGGAGAGAGAGAGAGAGAGAGAGGGAGAGAAATGACACGATCATTAACGGTTGAGAATGCATTTCCCCATTGGCGACGACAATAATATCAAGAAAGTAAAACTCGGCGCGTGAAAGAAATCGATAAATCTTGGCGCGAGAAAGGAGGAAACCACACGCACAAAACCCTCCCTTTCTTCGAGCCTCGCGCTCGAGAATTAAGCGGAGAGAAAGAGCGAGGAGGAAGAAGAAGAAGAAAAAAAAAGAGTGTCTGCGCGCCACAAATCAACTTTTTCGTCGGCTCGCGCCGTGAAATCAAGAGGAGCTCGCTCGCGCGTCCCTTTCTCTCGCCCCCACCTTAGCAGCAAAGTTTTTCCTCCGGGCTCGGAACACCGACGTCGGTTGCGCGAGAGGGGCGGCGCGATCATTGTTTCCTTCGCCCTCGCTGGCGCCTGCTC